AAGTGCTGCTGTCTTTGGCAGGGAGGAACGCTGCCTGCAGCTGCTTTCTGCTCAGTTTCTTTCATGCTCGGTATGTCTGGACTTTAGGTCACAGGGAGAAAACACCAGTTTCAGCTGATACAGACTCCAGTAATTCTGCAAAATAAGGTTATTTTCCCTGGGGAATAATTGGAAATGAGGAATCAAACATCTTCGGTGTGAAAGGCTGATGTTCTTCTCTAGGGTTTAACTTCTTTTATAATTGCTATTAAATAAGCCAGGTCCTCCTGGTCTGGTTGTCATCTCATCCTGTCATAACACCAGGTTGAGTCCATAGACTCCAGTGAATTAATACCAATGTATACCTTAATACCTAGCTTAATTCTTAGTGTGGCTGCTCTAAGCTGGAAGACCTGGTGGGAATGCTGGATTTGGTGTTTTGTTTGTGCCTCTGGGCAGACTCATGCAATACTGTGTTATTTTGGAGACTCACTTACCTAGGCATGTACAGTCATATGTGCCTGTGGGAACTAGGAGCCGGGTAGTTCTGGGTGAGGATTTATCTTGTTCGGCGTTGACAAGTGAAATACTTGCAGACAGCTGGTTTAATCCTGACATATCATTGTTAACTGGATTTGAATGTGATCGTGCAATGCCGACAGTGATTTTGCTGGTGTTTATCCCTTGTTTTAAATGGCTCTGTGGAGCACAGTGCGTGGGGGCATAGGGGAAAATATTCGTGTGAGCCTATGGAAGAAAAATCTTTCACCTTGCATGGGGCTTTCCCACGCTGCGGTCGTGTTTGTGTCGTATCCTGAAGAAGAGGCTTTTCAGGTTGGAGGTACATAAACTCTTGCTCTGTCTGTGTTTAAGATCTCGTGGGTTGCTTATAGCAGCCATGCATGGACGGAGGGGCTGGTCCAAGCATCCTCTAACGCGACTGGGCTGGTCCGAGCATCCTCCAGTGCAACTCGGATGCAAACGTTCTGCTGCTGAATGTGCTTCAGCAGCTATAGCAGGGTTAAGAGCACCATTTTGAGAGAGGGTAGTGAGTCACGCTTGCAGGCTGCTTTGGAAATTTGGGTTCCTTTGATGGTAAAGTATGATGGATGTAGGACACGAAACTAGAACTAATTTCCAGTATACATCCACGTCTGTATGTGTATCTCTACAGGGAGATACAGTGACCCCCCTAGTGGGTTAAGTAGAATATTCTGGATATCTGGACATTAATATATATACATGAGTTTTGCTGCTGGAATCGATCAATAGTATTTTAACAAAGTATTGCAAGGAAAGCCTGTGACTATTTGGCAAATAAAAGGTGAAAAAATAAACAAAAACCAAAACAACCTCCCCCAAAACCTTCTTTCTTCATAGCTGTCTGAGGGAAAAATGCTTGTCGGGAGCCTTTTGTTTTGAAATTGGAGAACGCATGCATCCCATTCCTTGGAGATGCTCTCATCCGGCTCCACGGCACGGCGCGCTCTGCCATCTCGTGGACACGCACAGGCAGGCGAATCCGGCTCCGCGTCGGCGCTGGGCGTGATTCCTTCGTGACAGCATTGACAGCTGGTATTTTGAAGCTTCCTTCTGCCCCATCTTTTCAAGGCTTATCTGGGGTGCTTGTTTTTACTGGTAAACAGGCTTTGTTTTGAAAGCATCATGCCTAGGAGTGCATGAGGTCATTGCTTTGGCTCAGCTCGTGAGCCGTAACCTCTTCATCTCTCCTTACTCACAGGAGTCTGTAGTTGGATTTGGGCACTGATTCACCTAAGTGCTGCCAAAAAGTGACTTTGGAAGAAAATAATCTTTTGAAGATAAGTATTCCCCATTCATAAGATCTGCTTTTTATTGCACGCCAGGGAGGATCGGTTGTCTGCTGCGTTAGGGAGGCGCAGCTCAGATGCAGAGCCAGTCTTCATCATCCTCTCCGTTTTCACCTCAGCTGGTTTGCTGGAGGAGACCATGTAACCATTTTGGCGTCATGAAGACGTCACGGGGAGGGCTGAGTCAGTGCATTTTGCTTTTGCTCCCTTTGGCAAATGCTCGGAAAGGCTTTCAGGCTTGGACGTGTCACAGCCGAATGCCCCGGTCCTAGATACGGTCTGAAGACTGCAAGCCCTTGGCAAACTCTACGCTTAACAGAGAAAACAACCCAAGGGGTCATGTCCTACAAGATACCCTCCATCCTCCCTGTGAAGGTCACGAAGGATGCAGGAGGCTGCATGTCACAGGGACGTGCTGTGAATGCTGACAGACACGAGCAGAGAGTTTTGGGACACGTCCCAAGTGGTTTCTGGGCCGGCATCTTGCAGTTTGTTGGCTTGCAGTTTGCTGGACTCTTGCCTCCAGGCTGGGCCTGCCCTCCTCCAAACAGTGCGTTTTAGGAGGTAGAAATTATGTGGCACTTTTGAAAGGGATACTGGGCTTTACTGGTGCTATGGGGTAAACTTGGAAGGCAGCATTGATGTCGTTTGGTTTGGCATCTTAATTGCCTCGCAGCTCATCTCCTTCCGTTTCCTTACTGATTTTTGACCCTTTTTGACATGTGCTTGGAGTTACAATAAACTGCTTGTTTCTCTTCTGGCTACAGTTTTCGTCCAGCTTCCTTGTTGGATGAGAAACAAGGGAGCAGCTCCTTCGGAGAAAGGCAGACTCTGCAAGTTGTTCATGTTCCTCTTAGCACCGCTGTATTCCTGACTTTGTCCAAACAGCCTTAGAAGCACCGGGATTCCTGACCATGCTGGGATCCCACCTCAATTTAGGCACCTAACAGGCGTCTCTGCACACTCTCCTTGGGACCCCTCCTCATTGACAAGTATTTTCAAGTCAGACCTTACAATTCAGTGCGGACATCGTGTGAGTAAAGGTGGGACCTGTGCGTGGGCTGGTGACTTGGGGTTCCTGCCGTAGGAGAGACATGGACGTGTTGGAGCATGGTACGCTGCATCTCAACGTAGAGGTCTAGAGAAGGTCGGGTGATTCCCATCTGAGGATACCCGTGTCCTTTCCCTGTCAGCTCTGCAAGGAGCCCAGAGGGACCAGCTCACACGTGGACTTGTTCAGACATGGTAGGTGCCCTAAGGGAGATGAAGCCAACCCAGGTGTCCAGGGGGAGAAGGGTGGATCGTGGGTGAGCATCCCCTCTGCTGTCACTCTCCATGCGACGTGAGGAGGTCAGTGTCCAGCACTGGTTTTCTTCTGGACCCTACAGATTGCTGACTCTTCCAGGGGGGTGGCGGCAGGGGGACAGGTCTCTTTGGAGAGACCTGTCAGGGACAGGTCTTTGATGGGGTGATGTTATTTACTATCA